GAAACACATTTGGTCCTCTAGGATCTGCCCATGCAATCAAATCGTACCCACGATGTTGTCGCTGCACGGCGCCACGAATCAAATCCAGCACCACACGCCGTCGCACACGTGCGTGCTGCAAGACTCGATTTGCGTCCGTGGCTTCTGTCCAGCTCCCCCTGCGAACCAAGACTTGCACAGTTTCCGCCAGCTCCACGCCCGTTTTGGGCACAGCCGGGGCTTGCACGCCCGCCTCCATGGCGCTCAACTCCCGCAAAACATCCGGCCACGGGAGCGGGAAAGACGTTACATTACCTCGTGCCCCATATCGGGCAGGTGGCATGAAAGCCTTGTGTGCTGTGGTCGGACCACGCGCCCCATCGTGGTCCAACGAAAAGCATAGCAGGCTCGTGGTCACGGGACTCGCCGCTATCAGCTCCAACACTGTCGCCGCGTGTGTGACGATTTCCCGAGGCATATAAGACGTCCATAAATCGTTGCTCAAAGCTAACTGCGGCGGATGCGCGGGAGACCTTTGCAGCTCCTTTGCGCACGAACGGCATATCGGCAGCAAACATGCGTCGCACAATGCTCCCTCTGCCGCCGCATGCTGCTCGCATTGAACATCTTCTGGACAGCACAGCAATGTCTCCCCGTCGAGAACCCGGGTCCACTCTGAAGACTGCTGCAACGAACACGTCGGACGCTGTTGCGCGTGTCTGCGAACATACCCCGCCAACGACAGCCCGCCCGCGCAAAGGTTCGAACGCACAGTTCCCGTCTCTTTGCCGGGGGCCAGCGTGTCTGTCAGCCGGTAGTACGCCATTTCTTGCACGGGTTCCCCTTCCACGCGGGTGTAGCGACCGGCGCACACGAAACATGACACGTTTTTGACGGTTGCCAGCTGAGCCGCATAACGCCGCAGGCAAGCCCGATCTTGCACCAAACTTGCCGTTGGAGCGTCTTGCTGACAAACCGCCTCCACGGCGGACAAGTACGCGCTGACAGCTCGTGTGTCGGCGTCTTCGACGACGAACTTGCTGCGCGCTTCCGCGGCGTTGGCCAGTGCTGCTCTGTGAGCGTGCGCCACATGTTCCACCAGCGCGGCCTCGCTTCCGAAATCCCGTCCGCATCCCTGAAATGCACAATGGCATGCTTGGCTGGCGGCCTCGGTGTATGCACGAGCCCCTTCCAAACAACCACTCAACGACGCCACTGCCATTTCGTACGCGTGTCGCGGGTCGCCCGCGAAACTGTCCGGCAGACCGATTTCGTGAACGCATTCCGGGATTGACGGCGGGACTGCAGCTTGTTCCGCTGTTATGTCCGCACCCGCCAAGAGATCTTCCACGTCCATCTCCATTTGCTCGTCCGCATTCGGCAGTGGCGGAAAGACCCTTTGGCCACCCTCAGCATCGGAGCCGCTCTCCGAACCAAGCTGAGCCCCGTTGTCCGACTGCAACTCTATGTCTACGTTGTAAACAGGTTCATAGTTGCCTGTGTTGAACAAATGTAGCGTTACTTCCACCGCTCCATGGCCGAAGGCGTGCTCGTCCACGGCGCCGTGCTCGCCATCCCACGGGGTGTGGACGAACAGTTGCCAACGATGCGGTGCCTCCACACCGTGCATTGCCATGAGTTCCAGTATAACGGGTTCCGCGTGAATATGATGTTGCAAATACGCTTCTGCGTCCGAACCCTGACCTCGTTGCAGCGGTCGACCCAGGTGGTCTCGCTCGCACGGGCGGATCGGCGCCAGCGCATGGTGAACAAGATGTTGCCTCAACGTCGCAGCGATGTCCGCCCGCAAGTCCGCGTCATGCGCCAGATCTGCGGGCAGGACACTCGCTCGACTCAAACACTGCAAAAGCGCATCGATGAGGCAATTGTGGCCGGCACCTGAGGCGGTCCCCACGAACAGCCCCTGCTGTCGCAACGCAACCCGCGCGGCTGCGACGGCCATGGTGCACTTTTGCCAATAACTCGCAGCAGGACTCCCTACACACGTTGTTCGCATGCGATGTTGTGCAACTTTTGCGGTCTCAGTCAGCGTGCAAATTGAAAAGTGGGATTTGCTGCATATGTGGCTGCAAGGAGAACACGAAAAACTGCGGAACAACAACTAATTTAGCTTTCAAATTTAGCTTTCAAAACGTGATTCTCTGTCACCCTGCTTGAACCACTTCCTAATCGCACCTGGCTGCTGCGTTGGAGTTGACCATCTTCAGAGCTATGACTTCACACGGTCTGGGGACGAAGACCATGCTCAAAATTTCCAAGATGATGCGGGATCCGAAAATTACCCCACCACTTGCCACCTCGCACCATTTCTTGGCGAATAATGGCATCGAAAAGTTCCCAGGCCCTCTCACACACCTCCTGCTTGCAAGACGACTCCCAACAAAACCCCGCCGCAGCAAATTCTACAACTGAGAACTCCACACCCCGCCACCTCCCCACAGCCCCTAACCAGCCAAGAACAACCCTCGCAAGACCCGGATCGCGCAACCCAGTTTTTCACAACCTTGCCGCAAAGTTGAACCGTCTCCAACAACAGAATTTCGCCGAAGCCGTCTCGGTTCCATACCATTTCCTGGGCACAGACGCGAAAATCCGCCAACTTCCCAGAGATAGCTTCTGAAAATTGATCCCTGTACCCGTCTGTCGGCAGCGACGTCTGCCCTCCAGAAACTTTCAAAATCGTCCCTGGCAATTCCCCCACTATCGCTAGCCATGACATACCGTGCCGACATTTTTTGCGTGCAGCAAGCTCCTCTACATTCCCCGTGCCCATGGACAATTCCCGCACGCCCTTGACAACAGTTGCTGGTCAAAACTTTTTTGCCGTGATGACGCTCGGGCGGGTGCAATTTTGGCCGTCGGATACACAGCCATGCATAAGCAAAGCCGGCCGCGGCCTCTTCTGAAAGCCGCGGCGCCATCCGTCAAATCAAACAAAATTCTCCCGCGCTGGTTACGGCGCTCAGTCCGCATCAGTGCGGGGGTGTTTGCAACAAAGACACGACGCTGCATTTGCAACGACGGCCGCGGCCTCTTCCCAAGGCCGCGGCAAATCCCTGGGCCACCGTATAAAATTGACCATTCACACTCACAAATGCTCGCCTAGCAGCCCAGCACTCAGAGAACGACGAGGTGGCTCTCGTCGTACAGCCACAATGTCTTTGAGCTCTCTGCCCGCGACGAGACCGGCGTCTTGACCACCCCGAAAAAAACCGCCAGAGTCTTCCCGTCCTCCATATCCAGCTCCGCATGTCGGCCCGTCAACGTCACGTCGAGGGTGCCACCCGTGGCGTCGATCAGGGTCAACGATGCCAATGTGTTGCCGCGATCCGACAAATACTGGCCGCTGTAGTTTGTGACCTGCGTTGCACCATAACTTTTTCAGACCCCCGCAAACCTTAGCATCAAGAAAAAACTTGCCTGCCCGCGAATACACACCACGGCCGGCACCTGAAGGTTCTCAGCCTCCCCCACGGTACCCAGCGGGAACACAGATGGGTCCAGCGCAGGCGGGCCCACGTCGGCAAATTGGATGCTCGACTCCGGGGCGTACATCAGCTTCTTCTCGAAGCCGAGCGTCGTTTTGCCAAGCGGCACCACCCTCACGTTGGCCTAAGTTCATGCAAACACACCTACTGCCGTGGCGCACCCGTTCCGTCCCTTGCACTCGAGCCACGATATCCAAACGAACCTCGCCAAGTCGATCGCCCACCGACCGAAGTCGCTCTGCCAACGCCACAGCTTGCTGTCCCCACCCCTCAAGCTGCGCGATGCCGGTGCCATCGTGCACGATTGCCGTGAAAACCTGGCAAGACCCTGAATATAAGCCGGCACTGACTTGAAGCAACCCCGGTACATTGCGCCTGGTTGTTACCTGGCTTGCCCACCGCTGGTTTGCCGACGTTGGCCGTGCGGGTTTTGCCCGGTGACCACGCAGCCCAAACCGCCAGGCTGAATTTAGGCGCCTTGGACACGGGTTCCGCACCCAAATCCTTGAGAGCCAGAACCTTTTCGTCCTTACTGCGCGCGGCCGGGGAGTTTGCGAGCGACTCCGACGCCTGCTTCGTGTCCGACATTCGGACCCGCTTCGGCGGCGACGCTTGCAGACTCCCGTCGCCGTCCCATGCGACCAGGACATCCCAATACCTCAGTTCAAACACCACCTTCAGTGCGCGGCGACGCATCCGTCGCCCTGCTTGTGACGCAAACATATAAACCAATCCCCTTCGCTTCCAAACTAGTTACTTTCAGCCAAGGTTCGCCTTTTCCGTTACACGTTCATCCACCTGCGCCGACCGCACCAAGGCCGGGAGCGCTGCTAGAGCCGCAGCCTTCGACTCCTCGAAAAGCCCCTGAATTTGCGCCGCCTGTTCTGGCGAAAGCACTTTGGCTGCAAGCTCGCGTTGCGCCCCGTCCTTCGGCAGGTACAAAGGCACGTAACGGTAAGAGGGTCCCGACGACAAGAATGCTGTGATGTGGGCCAGGCCGTCTGAAATCCGCCACTTGGCGCAAACAGCTTCTTTGTCCGAGACCTCTTGAACGAGAGCCGGAAGCTGAGACCAGAAGGCCTCGAAGCGTGCAGCAAGTTCCGTTTCCAGGTCTGACGCGCGGTCTCGGGGAATGCCCGCCAAGACCGCGATGACCTCTTTCGGAGTGTTTTCGTCGATCGTGAACATGGCCCCAAAAGCCTGTGCCCACGATTCCGCCTCCTGGGTGGCCTGCGTTTGGATTTTTGCGGACACGTCAGGCCACAGATCAGCGGATTGCCGTATGAAGGCCGGGATTTGCTCCTCGGCCACCCTTGCGAACTCCGCCGCGAGTTCTGCGGACATAATGCGCGTGGTCGAAAGCGAGGAGCGAGAAGCTAGAAAATCGCTTGGGGCGAAGGCGCTGCAAAATCCATGCGTCCTACCGGTTGCATTGCTGCTACCAAGACTTGCATGTGACACCTACATTCGCACAAGTGGAAGACTTCCGACTCTTTGCAAAACAACACGAACAGCAAGCAAAACTTCCATAAGGCACCTGTATGCAGACAGACTTGACGCCTCGGTCGCAGCTTCACACATTTTGCGCGCCCAACTTTGCACTTTGCCGATGTCCCTGGAACTATACATCGGATGCCGGCAGCCGAAATGAGCCAAGTCCTAACCCCCTGTTGGCATCAATTGCATCCCTAGCTCCGCCCTAGGGACGGCTTTGATCCCCGAATCGGATTGTGCCGCTTTGCGCGCTGACTTCGGCCGCCAGCTCCGCAATTAAAAAGATGCCGCAAGCATTCACATGCCCACCTCTGTTTCTGATCTTGCTTCTAAACTGGTCGACTCACCTGATTGCATACAGCCTAACCCAACCAAAGCATGCCTGATCCTGCTGTACCTGCTACACCTCGGATTTGTGGAGGCAGACCCTGCAATTTGAATGCCGTGCAACCTACAAAAACCAAGGGCAGCTTCAAACTGCGCTTCTCAACGTCTTTGCCGCAAAACCTCTTGTGTTGTTTCAAAGAACGCAGCCAAAAGTGAGCCTTGCAACCCCTTCGGGCTCGGCTCACGCGAGCTGTCTCGACGCCGCAATCCACTGGATCCGGCCGCTTCTGATCTGTCACGCCTTCGCGTTGCGGACCTTGAACGGCTGCGGCCCTTTGTGGTAGAGCGGCGCCTGGTAGAACTGCGCCGCTTGGAGCCGCTGCACCGTTGGCTGCGGACCATGCGGCTTTTGGGCCTAGCTCCACGAGCAGGCTCACCATGCTGGCCCGCGCGCTGCTCGGCTTCCTTGACACAGGCCGCCCAGGGACGGATCCCTTCGCGCCAGGCCAAGTACGACAAGTGCTTCACAGAATGTCTCTCATGCTGCTCTATGGCAGACGGGTAAGGAGCCACCTTTGTGCCGCACACTTGGCAGCAGGTCCGCTCCTGCCAACGGTTGCGGTGCAAGTTCTTCCCAGACGGCACGCTTGACTGCACAACCCCGTCCTTGGGTGGGCTCCGACCACGGTTTTGGTCCTGGCGCAGTGTGTCATGCGAGATGACACGCCCTGCCTGGAACTCGACCTCCCCGCGAATGCGGCGGGCATCCCGGTCCTGACACCAACATGTACGTCTGCCACCCACTAGCTTCATGAAAAACCACCCAGTCCTTGCCGCGGTCCCGCTCCTGGAGAACACTGTGACGAAACTGACATGTTGCGGCTCGAACCCGGCCTGCCGGGGATTGCGGCGAGCCTCGCGGTCCTGAGCAGGCATTTGCGCTTGCGAATGACATGACGCATGAGGGGCGAGCCATGTCCTGGTCACTGCTGTCCGAGCTTGAGCGTTCGTTTTTGGCCGACATGCCTGACGCGTGTGAAAACCAAGCTGCGCCAAAAGCTTGCAAAATCAAAACGCCCTGCCTCCACTTGCTGCTCAGTGCCGATTCCCGGTACGCCCCTACAATTTGCTGGTCTGATCCAACAAACAACCAAGCAGCCATTGTTTGTGTTCTTGCATGGTCTCATGCTCAATAAATTTTTCGCATACGTCGCTTAGAACACACACGAGACAGCAATAGTCCAGATACCTGCAACTGCTCTCGCATGCTCTCTCCAGGTCAACGTCTTGATGCCAAGCGCCCCTGGCCGCGCGGGCTCAGGCAACGGCCTCTAATCCTGCACCCGTCTCCCGACCACGCAGGCCGAAAAGACAAACCCTGTGACCACGCAGGCCACACAGGCGCCGCAATTGACCCCGCTCTTGACCACGCAGGCCACAGAGCGCTTCCAGCGTGACCACGCAGGCCAACGCAGGCGCGGCAAAAACACTTCAAGTATCTTCAAGTGACTCCGCCCTTACCAATTCGAACTCCCCGCCCCAAACCTCTCTGCCCAGCCGTGTTGCGTTCATTCGTGTGCACCCTTGTGTCCCCATCCTGCAATTTGCGTAGGGAACCTCCGACTCCCAACGCCCTCAAAGCTGCCCCACAGTCTCAAACTACCCACTCGCCCGCTGACACCCCATGTTTTCTTCGCGCTTCGCCTTCTGCTTGCTTTCTGCCATCGTCGCCTACGCACTACACGCTTCATTGCCTCGTACGTGAAACCGCGCGCTGCCCGCAGCACACCTCGGGTGTTGACAAGATCCCAACTTTTGTTGGCTGTTTACCAACCTGGCGTGAACGACACACGCATGTGTCTGTGCGCTGCACACCAACCGTCATGTGATAACCGCCATCGCTGGAACAGCCTACACATACGTCTGTCTGCCGCACACGGATCCGCGCACGAACGCCCCGCTGCACGATTGACAACCCAGCCCCCCCCCCCCACGGATGCTAACGGTGACAGTCCTGAGACGCGCTGTGGCGTTTTTGTTTTTTTTTGGTGTTTTTTTTTTGGTGGTTTTTTTTTACGTGAACCGC